ATCCTATGCATAACTAATGCATAGAAAACCATGGTATTAGCAATGCAATGAGTTTTAATCCATGCATTAGCTTAGTTAAAGACAAAATTGTCCTTCAAAATCTATGTTTGATTAAAATATGCTAGTTATTATATTAATGCAAGTTTAAAATAATCCAAATAGTGAGAAATAAAATTATATCTCTAGTCAATAAATAAATACTTAGCATATATTTTTTTTTTTATAAATAAATATTTTGTTCTATATTACAATATAGGTAGACAAATCAAATAATTTTTTTTAAAACTTTTTCATATAAAAACATTTCTCATTCTTTTAAAAAGTTAGAGTGATGGACTGGTTTTGAGGGTATTTTTGTAAACAAGCAATTCTTTTAGAAATTGTGCAATGCTTTAATACATCAAACCAAACAATGGATAAGAAATATGCCAGCATAACTAATACCAGCATAACTAATGCAAGCATAACTAATACCAGCATTACTAATACATCATATTTAACATTATTCTTATGCACCCTACCAAACGACCCATTATGATGTAGGAAACTTCACAGTAACCCCTTTCGAGTTCAATTGCACGTTGTCCGTGGGCTATGACAGTTTTAGATGACTAGAAAAAAATATAAGAATATCTTTTAATTGCAATTAGAACATTATAATTGGAATTATCAGAATGGATTTCAGTACTCCAAATATTAAAATTAAAATGAAAAAAAAAATACTTGTCTCTGTTTAAGTCGAGGTATTGAAAATCAATAAATAAAAACCTGTCCTTACACATGCAGTAAGATGCACTAGTACATATCTATAGTGACAGAAGATGATAGAATATTTAGGCTTGGACACATGGTATTAATGGCAACACTAAAATCATCTCAACCACTTTCCATCCCAAGAACTGAAAACCACAAGATCCCAAAATGTCTTCCGTACTGGGCTAGAGAGGTGCAGTCGTCTTTATCAAGTCCAGAAGCATCCTTGCCACTTGGATATATGTTGGCCATACTGATGACCTTTCAATTTTGGTAAAAATGATAACTTTAGATGTTAAAGAGAGTTTAAAAGAAGCTGAAATGTTGGCAGAAGTTAGAGGAAGCTTTTCTGTTTTAAGTTAACTGAAATCAAGAACTGCAGGGAAACAAAAAGATAAAAGATCGCCAAGAAAATACCATAATTTCATAATAGGCACATGTCAACTACAGTTACATAATTACATTCCCATTTATATAATGACCAACCATTACTAAAAGTTTCTTTGTTGTTAAGTAACACCTTATAATAGTATATTGTCTAATTAATGCATAATCTTGGTTATTCCTGCGTGTCATTCTCTGCCCCTCTCTTGGAGCCATTAATGTGATAACACAAAGGTTGGGAGATCCAAGAACTTGAAGAAAATAAGTTGATGAAATGCGAAAGTAGTAAAGAAATACAAGCGGAGCAAGAAAAATAAATTAGATATGTCGAAATTCAAGGAAAGGTCCAAGAACCCCGAGATTATGTTAATCTAGATTTTGACAAAATCTTAATGACAACAAGTTGGTTATGAAACCAATTGCCTTCACTAGAGATAAGCTAATCAAGAACTAGATTCGGATCTTGACTTCTAGTTTGAATAACTTACGACAACAACTAGTAAAAGAAACTAGTCGTCTTCGAAGAATATCAAAAGAAACCAAAGATATCACAAGAAAGAAAATTATCTTACTACCTTAAGCTATGAACTAGTTAGGGTTGCAAGATAAATCTTCAAAGTAAAGTTCACAAAGGTTCAAAAGAACTCACAATAATAATATTAATCTTCAATGTCTTCTCTACAATGGAAGACAAGCCCCCTTTATATAGTAGTAAAGAAGGAGCTAGTCAAAACTTCAATAAATGAGAATTATATTCCCTAGAAGCATAGAAGACTACCCACACTAAGACCAATGTAGTCAACATAGACATAGACCAATGCAAGTCAACATAGATTAAAACAACTATTAAATATATATTCTAGAAACTATTTTTGGGCTTATTTGGGCTGCTGAAAATTCCTCTCTTTTGGGGCATATTTGGGTCTCATTCCTTCTCCTATTGGACTTTAATTTGGGCCTCAAAATAGTTGTAAGACTTGGCCCAAAGATCCTCCTTGTGCCGGAGCTCTTCTTCTATTATAAGACACTTTTTAATTGCCAATTGAAGCCCATTAAGCTTTTCTTGAAATTTCTTTGTTTGAGACCTTGTCATGTGCCTTCTTGGAGCTTCCAGAGCTTCATCCTTCTCTTTTAATGATGTTGAGCTGCCATGAATGCTATCATAATGCAACATCTTTGTTACAGTACTTTGTGTATTTGCGTTAGGTAGGTTTGCTATAAACGTATAATGCATTTCTCCATCGACCATTAACTATTGGGTTCAAGGGCTGGTATGTAAGATACAAATTGGTAGGGTATAGGAAAAGGAATTTCCATATCATTTAAGACCTTTGGATTTGAAGCTGAATTATCACAATATTTGGGATTCCCTCTGCTCCAAAATATAAGTCGTTTAATTTGGTTTAAGATAGTTGGCATTCTAAAAAATAAGAAGTCATTTGTTATTGTTCCAATTAGTGGGGTGTTAATTATATATATGAGACTTTTAAGAAGGAATATGAAGATAGTTTACTCAAATTCTCTATTAATTTGAGACTATTAAATGTTTTTTTTTTAAGGAGTGTGCAGCATCCATTTTGGACCTGAAGTACTATCATGTACTCAGAATGAGGAAGACCTGCATCAGAGTCAAACATTTCTATAACAGCATCTCTATATAACGGTCAATTCACCATAAAAGTCAAGTTTCTCTCAGAATTGATTTTTTAAATTATATTTACCGCTTTATAGCAGCTTTTTACCTATAACAGAAACAACCATATTCACACCAGAACGATAACAGCCATATAGAATCTTTAAGGTTGCTAATAATAATTCTGAAAATATGCACACAATCTTTTCTATTGAACAAAGATTCTATTTTGCATAAGACATAAGATTTCAAGATTTGCACATGATATATATCTTTTCCGTTGGACAAATGCCAAAAAATATTTATATAGAAGATTTAATTGTTAAGCTCTTAGATTGTCTTCAAGCGAAAGATATTGGATACATTTTTGCTGAAAATTTGGACACAAATCTTCGTCAATTCAAGCGTTATATCAACTACAATTACAAAGTTCTTCAATTAATCTTGAAAGAATCTATTTTCCTCAGTAACTTTAAAATGTGTGCCTTAGAGTTTAAATCTTTTATCAATCTCGATGGTTTTTAGGTCTTGAATCTTGATACAGACCCAACATATTTATATGAAAATATGGGATAGCCTTTTTTTCTTCCACAACTAAGAATAGTTACAACTAACGGAATTCACTGAGCCCCAACGTCAAGAACCATTATAGGCTAGGGTAATCTTGAATTGCATTATGCCAGCTTGTACTGATATCTTTATATATCTAATGCAATAGCCCACATGGGCCTCTCCAAAATTTTCTTGATCACTTATTTGTTACACAAAATAGCAAACAAAATAAAAATACTCGCATTTTCCATCTATAAATTCTCACTCAGTTGTTCATTTCCATCACCAAGTAATCTCTTAGCTCTAGTAATACACACATTAGCACTTGCCACATTTTCAGTTTGAATAAAATGGCCAAGGCTACTGTATCATCCATTGTCCTTCTCCTCACTTTGAACATTCTCTTCTTCACAATGGTTAGTTCCACTTACATCCCATGCCCACCAAAAACAAAGAATCACCCCCATCCCACTACCCCATCATCCAAGGGTTATAAGAAGTGCCCAAAGGACACACTAAAATTGAAGGTGTGTGCCAATTTATTGAATGACTTGGTGCATGTTGTTATTGGAAGCTCATCAAAGAGTTCATGCAGCTCTCTCATTGAGAATCTTGCTGATGTTGATGCTGCAGTTTGCCTTTGCACTGCCATTAAAGCTAAGCTCTTGGGAACTAACCTTGATGCCGCTCTTTCCCTCAGCTTATTGCTCAACAATTGTGGAAAGACTGTCCCTAAAGACTTCCAATGTGCATAAATGGCCATCCTCTATTTTCATCCGACCCCAACTTGTTTGGGACTGAGACGTAGTTGTCAGTTTGTCTTGTTTGTTTTCTTTATAAGACTTTCGTTGGAGATTTCAAGTGAAAAATACTATCAGTACTGAGTGTGTTTATGCACGGTTGCTTATTTTCTCAGGAAATATGTGGAATTATTCTAGTGCTTAGAAGTACTGAGTGTGTTTATGCATGGTTGCTTATTTTCAATGTGTTGTATCCCATATTTATTTGTAATAAGATGGTTATCTGCTCATTAAGAAAATATATTATGTTTGATCACGGGAAATCAATTATTGACAAGGTATTGATATTAAGTTGCTTTTTTTTTTTCCAGCGATGTGACATTTTCATCTGCCAATTTGTTCTTTCCTTTTTCTTTTCATCGCTTTTAAATTTTGTACCTAGAAAGAATAATAAAGTTTTAAAAACTGTTTTAAATAATTACTCATACTTCTCTTAACTTCGCCCAATATTTAACCCTCGTGAGAATACTATCAAGGTGTGGTGGGACGGTTGAGATACCTCCGCTCATAATTAGAAGTTTCGGATTTGAACCATGGGAATAGAGAACTTCCTTGTAGGGAGTGTAAGGAATAAAAATCCACATGAGAATCGATGTATACAGTAAGAGAGTTACAATTTGAATTGGAGAATGTCAAAAGCAAAAGGTGTCCCACTTAATGGTAGAAACATCAATGACTTGATTGCAAGTACAACTATACTTTAGAAATTGAGGCTCATTTGCATGCATGTGACCAACTTTAATGACCTCTCAACTACTGATAGAGGGCTAATAAAGTTAGATAAAATGTGAAGTTCATCTCTTAGATTTATGTTTATACCTTTACAACGAATGAGAATTGAGAACAAGATGGTAATTGGTAACTCCTTCGCAGAGAAGAGGAATTCAATCAGTTTCCTGAAACTTTATAATTAAGTTTTATACATAATGGATAGGCAGGATCCAATACTACCTTCCACATTCCAAGATGGCGTTTCAAAAATTCAAAAAGATGAAGAAAAAAGTAACAAAGAATCTCACTATTTTCTTGGGAAAACATTTGACAGAACAAAAACAAAAAATCCTACAAATGTTATCAGGGTTGTGTATGGAATTGAGGCTGCTGTCCTCTGATTTGTGTGCGAGGATTCATATGGCTGAAGTTAAAGTGCTCATGTAATTGCTGGCTAGGACTGTCTGGTATGAGAAGCTGATCCCCTGCCCCCATTCCTACATACTGTTGCACCACCAATACTGAAACAGCTGATGCAGAATCTGAGGATGCCAATAGATCTCCTATTGCACCTAGCTCCGGGCACTCACTCCAGTCAGTAAGTCCTGCTGTTAACGGCGATATAGTGCCTTGTCCTCTACCAACTATGAACAGGTCATGTGAGTTATCTATTGTCCTTATTGCTGCTACTGTCTCTTCTCCATGATTCACTACTCTTTCAACGTATACAACTGAATCATCATTAGCTGTTCGTGCCCTGAACTCGCTGACATAGTCCTCGTCTAGCTGTTTTTCTCTGTCGTCATCTGTTACGACTGTTAGTACTCCTGGATCATTCATACTACTCTTTCTTGAATCAGATCTTGTTGCTTCAATTGCAGATTCTCCAGGGAGGAACCGCATGACAGTGAGGTTGATCCCAGGATGTTCCCTCATTCTCAGTCCATAGGACAATGCTTCACGATCATCCGGTCCACCAAAGAATAACACGGCGACATGGTGAGATACCTGGTTTGCAGCCAGCCTTGTGGATCCACTTAGTCCTCTGTCAACAAGAATACCAACAGAACAAGGTGCATTTGCTAATACATTCTGGTTTATAGTTCGAAAAGCTGGATTTGTAACTTCCATTCCGCCATCAACTGTTTGTTGCTTGTGAAATGGGACGATTAGGAGCGCCACTCGCTTGTCCTCAGCCACGGTGCAGATATCTTCGTGCATAGTAGAGTACGGGGAGATGGCAGTGAGGGGTTGCACGGAGACGCACCCAACGTGCTGCTCAAAGTTCTCGAATGCATTGATGATGTGATCTGATTGAGCTTGAGTTCTGTTAAGTGCTGGCCTGCCGGATTTTCGCGTATTATGGACAATAAGCATGGCGGATGAACGTCCAGTGAGCTCGACAAGGTGAAGAACGTATATACCTATCGGAGATTTCTTGGTGGGATACGAGGCTTCAAGAAGATTGATAATTGTTGGAACATTTCTTGGTGTGTGGATGCAAACCAGTACCCTGAATTCGCTATCTGGCTTTGTACTTTGAACTGTTCTTCTTTTATAAGGCACAAACTTTCTTGCCGGCTTGTAAATTATAGTCACAATAGGGATGATACATGCAGTCATAAGCACAGCTACCATGACCATAATTGCAAATGATTTGTCATCAAGAACCTACAAACATGCATTTAGGTTAATGTTGCAAATAGTACTAATTAATTTCTGTGTATGGTGTGTTAAGAAGAATAAGAATGCACCTTTTGGTCTTTACCAACATTGATCACAATCATCTCAATGAGTCCTTTGGCATTCATAAGAAGACCAAGAGTAACGCCTTCATAGAATGGCATTCTATAATAGAGAGTTACAAGAACTGTTCCAGCAATCTTGCCAGCACAAGCTAGGACTATGACTAGAGCTAAAATGGCCCATGTACCAACTCCATCAATGGCATTAATCTCTGTCTTGAGGCCGCTAATGGCAAAGAAGAGAGGCAACAAAAGCCCTGAAACAAAATCCTCTAGCCTTTCAATAAGTGTTACACCAAGTGGACCATTAGGAATAACCAAGCCAAATATGAAAGCCCCAAAAATAGAATGTGTTCCAATTGCATCTGTTATAAATCCACATATCATAACTCCTGTGAGAATGAGACATATAGAGAACTCGCTGATGGATTCGCCTTCTGGAGTTCGTCTTATCATCCATCCAACTAAAGGCCTAACGATGATAATGCAGAAAACAACAAAGGCTGCACTTGACAGAATCACCCAAATAGAAGCCAAAGCCATATTATGATTCTCAGAAAAGGCAATGGCAAAAGCCAAGAGAATCCACGCGAAAATGTCATTAATAAGAGCAGCAGACATGGCTATCCTACCAATTTCAGTGTTGATAAGTTTCAGCTCAGCTAGGATTCGCGCAAGAACAGGGAATGCAGTAACAGAAAGTGCAACTCCAAGGAAGAGTATGAAAGTCCCTTGTTTTGTATCTTGTGAATTCTTATGCAACATAAAGGAGAATGAAACTCCTATAAGAAATGGCACTACCATTCCTGCTAGAGCTATAGGTATGGCTTTTTTGCCTGTTCGACGAATAACAGCAATGTCCATTTCTACTCCAACCAGAAAAAGAAAGTAAAGAAGGCCTATATTTGCCATTGTCTCAAGAACCATCACACTTCTTAGAGGAAATATTGTTTCAGCAAATTTTTTATTTCTTCCTAATACTGATGGCCCCAAAATTACACCACCCTGTCAACATTTAAAACAACATTAGTCTAGTTAATCAAACAAATGTAACAACAACCTGTTACCATCCATAGAAGCAGATTTACACATTCACGAACATCCATCAATTTTTTTTAATGAAAATGACACAAAAATGATAAAGAACAATCTTTAACTTTCGCCTAAACCAACATTATATTTTTTTTCATAAGCATCTTTAATCATCTAAGAAATTTGATCCCTTCCTTGATCTTACATGTAAAATTTTAATTAACCTACATCTTGACTCCTACATTTATAGCGCAGCCCGGTACACAAAGTACTCCGCGTTCACGCAGGGTCCGGGGAAGGGCCGTACACCAAGGGTGTGATGCAGGTAGCCTACCCTGATGCAAGAATTAGTGGCTGATTTCACAGCTCGAACTCGTGACCTATAGGTAACACGGAGACTAACTTGACTCCTCCGTTTATGCTATGTTAATTAGCCCTTATACGTAAATATGCATGCGATTTTTTCATATGAAATTATCATGACAAATGAGAACAGAAAAGGTAACAATATATGTTAGAAAACACAATGAAACTTACGAGGATCTCAGCAATAACGCGAGGTTGACGAAAAGGTTTCAAAATAAAAACGAGAATGCGAGTCATGACAACAACTAACGTCAATTGCATGATGAAGAGTGGCAATGAATAATCAAGTGGATTTTCACCCTGCCATATTCCATTGGTCGTTATCATTGTTGGAGCATAGCATACTATGTTCTCCTCCGTTTTGTTTCCAACTGTTACTACCTCACCTGCCATTTTGCCTCTCCAATATAATGTTTTCCTTAAGCTAAAGATCCCCAAAATTATAATGTCTTAGGTCGTAAACCATCAACCATCATGAACATGCATGGCTACGTGCTACGTTCGTTGGATATTTAGAAAGTTCAGCATTTAATTGCTATCTTGAATTTTTTGTCTGAAAATTAGACTCCATCAAAGAAGAAAGGAAAAGAAAAGAAAAGAAAAGAAAATCAGAATGTTTGTCAAGTACAGAGTGGAAAAAAAAAGGGAGAAAACAGAGAGAAAGTTTTTCGGTCGAATTTGGAGGAGAGATAATTGGAAACTAGGTTCCGTTTCAGCTGGTAGACTGGCTCATTTTAGCGCTACATCTTCTATGGTCCACATTTACTAGGGAGAAGTCATTTTTTGGAAAAGAAAAATTTAAAGAGTCATCTCAATTGGCTGGCTTTCATCTCTAAGAAGGTACAGGAAGTGATTTTCTTTGACCCGTTATAATTTAAGGAAGAAATGATTCTACAAAAAAATTTGTGCTTTATTTATGAGTCAATACCCTAAGATCCCCTAAAGTTATTATGTTTTTCTCAGTTTCCTACTTAAACTATTTGATGTCCGCAAAACCTCCTGAGATATATTGTCCTTCATATTAAAACCCCCTCATTGCATTCTTAGAGGTGCGTCTAGTACACACTCCTAATTATCTAAAAAACGTGTCGTGTAAAACTACGTGTGGCTATTTAACTCATTCTAAAACCCGCCTAAACTATTATTTTTTTGTCAGTTACCTACTTAAACTATCTAATGTCCCCAATACCCCCCTGAACTATACTCCCCTATATATTTGTTTACCTCGAAAATACGAGTAACAATTAAATTTGATTTGTGGTTTTGAAGATATGTGATTTAGTTCAATACCAATTAATAATCAAGAAGTGTAAAGTATAAATGAGAGATATGAATGAATCAAACAAGCGTTACTTAAGCAGTATCGACCTCGAGATAGGTTAAGAACAATAAGGCAAGAACAATAAAGCAAGAACAATAAAGCTAAAGGACAACTCTGATGAACAATGAGCGAGAAACATAGGATATTATATTCTTTGCCAATGATTAGATGATCTTTACAAATTATTGGGGTCCACTTTATATACTAGGGGAACCCTAAATAAGGTACATTTTCTTTCACAGTAAAGAGTCTTATTGGGACAGCTGTCTAACCGTCTAATACGTATTTGTACTAATCTGCTTCGGGATTTTCGCCATGATCTTAGGGACGTGGCAAGAATCTTGCTCATTCTGTTACAAATCCATAACGGCATTATTTTGGGGTTTAGCACACTCGGCTTCGATACTCATCGTACTTCGATCCTCGGGCATTACGCTCTGTCTTCAAGCTCGAGCCTGGTCCGTCGAGCTCGAACTCGACCTTGCCTGAACTCGGGTTTAAGACGACCCCTCGAGCCCGGAAAATCGATCATACCTGATTTCGACAAGTATATAGATAGTCCCCGCATTTCTTAGAGTAAGATGATAAGAAACTGTTTGATCTTCGATGTTCCGATGACTCGATCATGATGTCAATCTCGTGATGTCAGTGGCTGAAGTGATGGAGAAGTTGTTTCCGCATAGTTCCCAAGGTCATTAATTGGAGGCGGCTGATGGTCGGCTGTTTGGCTTCCCCAACACGCTTGAGTGGCTTCTATAAATAGGCCAACTTAATGGTTTTTGAAAACTTTACTTCTCCAATCACTCTTAAAATCCTTTTAACTCCTTCAACTTTTTTGAGTTCACTCTTCTCTCAATTTGCTCTTAGCACATTATCTACTCATTCTTCTCTCTTGAACTTACAAACCGCAATGGCTAAAACATATAAAATGGTCCCTCAGCAAGAAAAAGCTTCTTCATCATCGTGGTCGCCCAGAGGTAGAGCGGTGGTGCCACCTCGTCTCGAGGAGTGTATCCCCCCGCCGTGTGAACTAAATTCCGATTTTAAAATTGATAAACCTGCCTCGACACCGGGCCGATACGAGCCCATGTCCCGATACATCTTCTTGATAACCGAAGATGAGCTCGAGCAGGTGAAAGAGGACTACAGGTGGAAGAACAAAGATGTAGTGATCCCTTCCCCTGAAGAGGATATCACTACTCATAAGGTAGGGTACTTAAGCGTGTATACCTACCCATTCACGTTGGGTCCTGTATATCCAGCTCTGGGTCCCATAGACCCAGTGATTCTTGACTTTTTCCAACGATACCAGGTGACGCTTGGCCAGATCTACCCTTCATTCCCGCACATCCTCAACCCAATTAGGTATTTCTCGAGCTTGGTCGAGGGGATGCCTTTCACCCTCGACCACCTGATCAGGCTATACAGCCCTCGCTTTTATCGAGGTGGCCTGATAAAGCTGCAACGCTGATCCACGAAATCTTTTTTCTCCAACATTGATGAGGACAAGGACCGAGGATGGATGAGCCGGTTTGTCCGAATCAGGACCTCCGACCTGATTCCAGTTGAGAGGATGCCATTCCCCGAGGAATGGAAGATGAAACGTAAGTATAGGTTTATCGAAAGTGGCTTTGTATTTTGCTTTGCTTACTCTTTCTTGACCTTATCCTTTTCTCGATCTAATCCCTTCCTGATGGTGTAGTTGTTCCTTGGTTTCCTGGTGCGGTCCCAGAACTTGAAGGTTGGGTTCGGCAACTGGCCTCTACTTCTTCATACGCAGAAGGCTGCTGGCGTGACCTGGCCAAGGGTCGATGGGAGGCTAAAAACCATGGTGAGTTCTCTTGTTTGTCTACTTATGTTTCTTAGTGAAATACTCACTTCATCTTTATGTAGGCCTCGGAGACGCCGTTGCTATGCGGTTGCCCCCTCCCGGTGAAGAAGAAATTTCGAAGCCCTCCAAGGAAAGGAAAAGAAAGAGGGGGTCACCTGTAGATTCCCCGAAGCCAAAGAAAAGCAAAGCTCGGAAGCCTACGACCGATACCGTGGTCCTCTCTCCAGAAACTGCCCAACGACTTCGGGATGAGGATGAAGAGGGGGGAGGATGACGACTGCCTGTTGGTGGTTCGAAAAAGAGGAAGCACTGACGCTTAGAAGACCGCTGAAACGATGGTGGCTAATGCAGTTCATTCTCTAACTGAAGAAATCTCGGAGGGGAATTCGAGCAAAGTCCCCGAGCCATCGGGCAACAAAAAAACACCCGTCTTGGAGGTTATTTGGAGGGAGAGACCGAGGAGCCTGGTTCCGAGGCCCTCCAAAGAGAAGGGAATGTCCCTAGTGGATCACTTGGGATAATCGACGTAGATGAATCGCCTCCTGGTCTTGAGTTCTCCGAGGGGCAATTCCGAGATGCCCAGAACATGAGAACTCCCGATGTTGGAACGAGCCACGAAGGGAATGATATCTTTCGAGAATGCCTTGCAGGGGTTGAAGATGGTCCCGACCCAGATGCTTCATTTATTTTTGAAGAGGCCCAGCGGCTCTTCAAACAAGTAGGTTTCTGCCCTTAAAATTACGCCTGCGCTTTCTCCTCGTTGTTTTGAGTCTAACCTTTCCCTTTTGTGAAGGCTGTGACGCTCCATCGTGAAGTGTTTTCCAAGTCTTGAACCGAGCTTGCTCGATGTGAGGCCGAGCTCAAGAAGCTTGCGGAAGAGAGGGATGTCCTTAAGTGCCTTTATGTTAAGAAAGAGGAGGAGATCAGGGATCTCCGAGTTGAGTTGGCGAAGGCTCATCGAGAACAGACCGAGCTTATCGAAAAATTAAAATACCTTTTGAGGATTTGTTATGCATTTATCCAATTAGGTGGCTAACACTTTAACTTTGCAGGCCTATCAGAAGGGCGAGTTGGTGGAACAGCTTTGAGAGGAGCTCAAGATGAGATGCCGAAACTCTAGGATGGAGGCAATGCATGGACCGTCTTGCCTCCGAGAAAGATACTCTTCGGGAGCAGCTGACTTCAATTAAACGCTAGCTTCCAAGTGTAAAGGAGGAAAGCTTGGACCGAAATCGCAAAATCGAGGAGCTCAAAGCTAAATCCGCTGCTGAGCTTGTAAAGGCCAAATCTGATGCAGAGGCATTTGTGTCTTCGTATCAAGCTGACGCTGAAGCCGCTAACATTCGGGCACAGGAGATCTCTACTACGGCCGAAGTTAAGTTATCATGTGCTCTCGATCATGCCAGGCGGCAGTCCCGGAGAGAAACCCTCGAGGAGGTGCATGCTCGTGGCTTCGACCTCTCAGCCGATATTGAAGAAGCAAAGACTTTGGAGGAAGAGGCTGCCACTTTGCTCTCTGATGATGAGGATTCTACTAGTGGCTCCGAAAGTGGAGGAGATGAAGATGAGGTCCCCGAGGAGGAGGTTCCTGAAGTCGCTGCTCCTGAGGATGTAGCTCTAGAAGATGTGGTTCCCGGGGATGTGGCCCCCAAAGTAGATTAGGTTCTTAGCCTCTTTGTTTTTGTTTCTTTTTTGTATAAGGGCCCCTCGTGGGTATTGTAAATATTTCTTATAAATATAAAGAACCTCTTTTCTTCATCATCGATTTGAGTTGAATTTCGTTTCGTCTTTATTCGAAAAAATTCGATGTTATAACTCTATTGATCAGTCCGAATATTGGCTTGGACTCAGAATATAATAATGTGACGACCCGACCCGTCGTCTCGTGAGTTACCGCCCCGTTTCCCCCATTTTATGCTTCTTTATGCTTCATTATAAGAGTCTTGTGTGAACGAGTTGATTTGGATTGGTTTTAGAAGGAAATGCGACACTTAGTCTCTTTAAGGAAGGCTTATTTTGGAAAAGTCAACCGAACGTTGACTTATGCTTTAGGAGGCTCGAATATGGATTCTGATGATTCGGTTAGCTGCAGGGGATGATTTGTGACCTAGGAGTGTGATCGGAAGTAATTTTGGAGGTCCGGTGTAGAATTAGGCTTGAATTGGCGAAGTTAGTATTTTGGCGAATTCCGGTTGATAGGTGAGATTTTGATCCGAGGGTTGGAATGGAATTCCGAGAGTTGCAATAGCTTTGTTAGGTGATTTGGGATGTGTGCGCAAAATTTCAGGTCATTCGGAGGTGTTTCGGTTGGGTTTTTGATCAAATGCGTATTTCGCAACTTTTACAAGAACTTAGGCTTGAATCCGATGTAATTTGGTGGTTTTGGTGTTGTTTGAGGTGTTTTGATGATTGGAGCAAGTTTGAATAATGTTTTAGGATGCGTTGATGCTGTTGGTTGAGGTCCCGG